GTACCGCTCTCATTAGAATTGTTACCTTTTTCCAGAGAAGTACTTATTAGTCAATCTTCTCAGTCCTTCCAAGGTTAGGTTGACTATGCTTTGATAGTCTGAAGAAATTTTTTATCCTAAGCTCGATGCCAGGATTCATTTCTGCTCATTTTACCGCAATTGCAGGGACAACAATGTTCAGACGAGGGAAACGGTCGATGAGTTCATCAACAACAAGAAGGCCAATTATAAGCTGGAAGTGTGTTCTTTTCTTCCATTATTTGCCTTCAGTGCCTTATTCATCACCATAAACAGGAGTCTTCGGAAATGAGATTGCGAGATCGAATTACCAGGACGAGTAAATCATCATAACACGTTCATTTCATGTTTTCAAATGATTCATCTAGCTGGTGATTCACAAAAGTTGATTTTTAGTAAGCGTGTGGAGCGCACGTTTCGGGGTGGGTCGCTAGAAAAATAGCGGTTTTTCTTTTCTGGCTCTGCGAAACCCAGGCAGCCATGACCAGGTGGACCTGGGATACTATAGCGAAAATAGGTCATGCGGTTTCCTCCTTCAATATGTGTGTGTTTTTTTTGAAGTTTTCTAATTTTTTTTCAAGAGATGAACCTCTCAAATTTATTAAATTCCACTCCTCTCAAATTTTCTCAATCGTTATGAAGAGTGATTATTTTCAAGATATTAGGGAAAAGTGTTCTAGGTAGAAACATCGCCATTGCACGCTGGAGGTCCTTCGGCTGCTTCTGTTATATCAGAATGTAGCGTTAGTAGTCTGCCAAGTGATGCACATCGTCTCGATCTCGACTATTCTCGGCTCAAAGCAGAACATCGTAAACTTCAACGTCACTTGGAGGTTATCCTTTTTTCTATTTTCATGTCCACTACCTCTGCGACATGTTCATGTTCCGCACAATGTTTTCACGTGCCTGTCAAAAATATTCGACGGCTACGTCCAGAATTTGTGCCAGATCATAAGAATCACATTAAAGGGCCGCGTCATAGAAGTGTTCAATGCACACGGTAGTTTTCGGTGACACATGAAATTGCCAACAATGAATGCTGTGTAAATGCTCATAGATGGCTGTTTGTTTCCGCAACGTCGTTTCCGTCATTATTAGGCAGTCCGTCACGATCGATATCGTGCGCCCGACGTTAAAGAGGCTGTTCGTCGTTTGCTCAAAGGTGATCCGGTATCTTTGGAATGGTATCGATCCAAAGAAGAGAAAATGCAATTGCTAGATGCTGCTATAGATATCGTTGATGGAAATGTGATATTAGCTGTAAGATTTTGGACTAGCTTGGATTAAGATCTCAAATTTTCTTCCAATGAAAAGAGTTTAGGTTGTTTTGTTTCTGAAAAGTACATTGATGGATTCATTGTTTCGGGATCTGTTGTTGAGAAGATCTCAAGCTGCTGACGAGTACGTAGCCTATTTAAAAACTACGAGGGACTGTGATGAATTGGCGACTACGTTGTTGTAAGTCTTCTTAACACCTTTAAATGTTTTACCAAGGCATAGCTCGATTTAACTGCTTACAGCGCTCTCGGAAGAAACGCTGATGCAGCCATGGTGGAGTTCTCCGCTGCTATACGACATCAGGTTCCAGAGCAGAAGGTTTTATTTCATGTTCCATATCAAAAGTTGGCATTAGTTCTTCAGAGGAAGTAAAATACTGTTTTTTCAGGTTCAAGCTTTGAAGAAATGTGTTCGAAGTGGCTTCAGTGATCCTATGCTGGTGGCAGATGCAGCCATTGTTAGTCATTACATCAGTCTTTTGGCAAATGCCAATTAATGTATGCTTTGTTCGGTCCGAGCATTTCTTATTCCTCTTTTCTTTCTTTCAAAAGCTGAGAGCATTGAATTAAGATCGCTGATGATCAAAGTAAAAACGCCATCTTCACAGCGTTCCCAAAGAACGCGTCTCTTGTTGGAAAACCGGTCATTGCTACATACTACTATTGTTGTCTATATCACTATGATGATCCACTGGTACGTTCTGGAGCTGTTTTAGAGTTACTCTTGTAAATAACATAACTACTTTAATATGTCCTTCTGCACTCCAGCTTTCTTCTTCAAAAACCAATGGTGTTTGCTGCTTCCCCACCGTCCTTTCGTATTTTCCTTCTCTCTTGTCTTTTTGTATGTGATAAAAATTTTGGCGCAGACCTCTATTTTCACTCATATATCGCCGCCCTCTCCCCTGAGTCTTCGTGTATATAACGATTGCAGCCCCATTTCTTCGGTACTGGACGTAATCCAAGATTACGCGTATAAACGATACTAACGAACAAGTCCTGTGATTCATTTTGCCCAATCATATTTTTTGTATTTCTTGCAGCATTCTCTCTCGAATCCATCTGGTATTCAAGGTTTGTTTCGATTGACAGACAAGGAATCGGTGTGGATCAATGTGAGCGCGTTAGCGAAGCAGAGCAGGTGTGTTTTAAGATTATCTCTCGTTTCATTCTTTCAAATCATAATTTGTTTCTTGAGATGGCCTGATGTTGAGCGAGTTCTCCAACCGAAATCGCTTCTGGGTGCTCTGCAAAGTAGAGGTATATTTCAATGCATAATTTATATTTAACATCGCTGCGCTGCTCTTTATCTGAATTTCGTTCTTTGTTGTCCTTGAGTTCCACGGTTTTTGTGAAATTCCGCCCCTCGGGTTTACGTAATTTCCCTTATCTGCTCCACCATATGGTTTCAGGCACTTCGCAGGTTCAGAGGCGTGATCTCACAAACGACAATAGAAGCATTGATGCGAAGTAGTGGGCACTGGCGAAAAAAGGAAAAAAACCTGTCGAAATACTAAAGTTAAGGGACTAATTGGTTGTTCGGTTCACTTTTGCTAAGGCAATGAGAGATTGAGCATGAAGCAAAGAGGATGAGCGAGAGAGTACAGTGGATAAGAGCGCTTGACACCAGTCTACTGCGGAAGGGAACAATAGAAGCGGTCGAAGCGAATTTTGCAAAGCTCTGGCGCCCTTTGCGTTTCTTAGGGCGCACGCATAGTCGGTCGTCCGACAGCAACGATCGCAACTGTCTGACTGTCTAACTGCATCTAATCGTCGAATACTCAGGCAAGTCCGACGATCGATACGCATCCAATGCTGTGCGACAGTTACGATCGTTGCTGTCGTCCGACCGACTATGCGTGCGCCCTTAGAGCTGGGATAACGGGACATCCGCGTCCTTCATGGGCAGCTGCATCCTATCCACTAAAAAGGATCTATCCATCCAGGATTCAGCCTTCAAAAACGGCACTCAGGCGATCTTTTCTTGGTCTGGTTGGCCTCCCTTCTTTGTGTTCTGTATTGCATCGCACATTGAAATCTGAATCGAACCATGAAGTTTTTTATCCTCACTTAATAAGTTGATGGTGCTAATTCAGTACACTCAGTGTTTCAGCAGCATTGAATTCGCCCAAGCTGGTTTGTCCTTTTAGTTGGCAGAACCTGTTCCACATACTGTACTTCAACTCGACAGCACCTCCCAAAGATGTAAGCTTCGCCCTTCTATCGGCTCTTCTGGTGGTTTCGAAGTAAATATGGCATCTGTTTTTAGTTGAGCTGTCGAATTCTACGGGCAGTCAGTGATGCTGACCAGCGGCTCAAACTCGCTGAAAAGTACGACGTATGTGAGGTTAGACTTACTGGCAATTGCTGTAGTTTTTATGATATTCTTATGAAGAGCCTTTCCAAATTAAGGGATCATTGTTTTTCTATATAAAAGGAAAACCTTCGGTCGTATGCTGACATGTCACGCAGGGGATTTGTTACTCAGCAATTTTAATGATTTTTTTATAGTTTTTGAATGCTTCAGATGGTTATCGAATGTCTGGTGGCGCAGAGAGATCGTGCCAGATTGTCAGCATATGCTAGTAAACTAACGCCACATACTCCTGATGCATACAAAGCTTTAGCGGCATTGAATAACACGGTAGGAAGATGACCTGTTACAATTTTCAAGTTCTCGTCTCAGTTCACATCTAAATTTTTCCTACTTTTTCAGGAGTACAAATGGAGAACTAGAAGGATTCGATCTAGAATAGTATAATATTATCGAGCTATACATAAGTATATATTTTCTTGGCGTCTGTAGGTTAATTCTTTTCTGTTGTCTTTTATGTATCTCACGCAATACACTGTCTTAGAGTGAAGCCTGTGATCTTTTCTAATGTTATCATTGAGAACCAGTCACTTCAAAGTGTTGTCTTCCTCTTTTTTCGGTTGTGTCTATCTAGTGCGTACCGTCAATATTCTGCGCTATTCAGATAGAGGTGCGATTATTGTTCATGGCATTTATTCTTCTATGTTAGGGACTGAGGAAGCCATTTATAGCTAGCACATCTTCCGCAGCCTAATACGTATTGTATAGTGATGACAAAGAATTCTATTGTACATAGTAATGATTCTTTCTATTTGTTAGGCACATACAATTTTTCTTGGAAGCTGTGATATACACTTAATAATATTTGACATAATTCGCAGTTAGTGGGATCTCTTTCCGGTAGCATAAACTATCATAATAATTCCGAATATATCTCATTGAATCCATTACCAGTAGCCATTCTGTCATTTATGGCCGTTGAACTCGCATGTATCATATAATGTGCACATAGAAATCCAATTTTTAATAAAGTTTTATCATTTCGTGCTGTAATTGTATTACGAGTTGGTTCTTGATACTATTTGTTCAATTCATAATGCCTAGGAACTATCGCAGTTCAGTTTGCAATAGATCCTATGGTATGATGTAAATGCTAATCACCTGGCTATGACATTGGATGAAGGCAGCTAATTACACAGGGCTAGGCTTGAACCATTGGCTTTCCATGAATTGAAAGCGAATTGGACCGCTCTTGATAATATCGATGCTTACCCTCATGTGCGTTGATCCCGTTCCATGGTAGTTGGATATTGAGAAAAATGTTTCCATTAGAATAAGTGGCGTGAAGACTCATAGCCCAGTATGAGTGTTTTGTTTCGTGACATTAAGCCCATATGTGGTGTCACTCGAAAATTATTACTTCAAGAACCGTACACATTTTACGTTTCGCGGCCGCGTCGAACTCCAGTGAAAGTTTTAGAAAATTTATTGAGCAACTTGCAGAGAAGAACTTGTTGTTTGATTCAAAAGAAACTTTCGGAGCAAAATGGAAAGGTAAATAAAAAAAGCTCCAGTACGTCGCTGAAAATAGCTTGCAAAAAACTATGCGGTCTACAGACTACAGTTCACATATGGGTTGCGTGCTATCCATAGAGCTAGGAAGAGTTCAGCAGCAAGTTTCATTTTTTCCTGCTCTGTGGAACGCTTGAAGCGCTTCATAATCCGGAACAACTCAGTGTGATCTACAATTTAAGTACAAGAAGCCCTATTTTAGGAGACCAACTAGCAGTCGGGTTAATGAAGAAGGGAAGGTAATAGTGATTCAGCAAACTTCGGTGAAGTACCCATCAGAGACCACTTAACGTTGATCACCTGCATGGTCATATTGCATTAGTTTACGGACTACTTCAACCCAGTCCTTTAAACTTAGATTTCTGGACGCATACTCGTTCAAGGAGGTCATAATAGTTGGATGCTTCTCAAGTGTAGGTGTAGGTGGTAGTGGTGGGACAGGGTAGAAGCGCTCGATCATAGCAAGCACGTTGCCGTTGTCATCCTCAAAAAAAAAAAACTAAATTCGGTGGGTGTCCTGCATTAGGAGGCGTATTCAACATCCTTATCACTGTTTTAATGGTGTGTTTTTCTCCGCGGAAGCTCTGCTTATCACCTCGGTATCTTCTACACTTTTCGCTAACCGTATTCTCCTTGCAAGAACACCGAGATCATAGTGCCGCTGCCGTTAAATCATTTTGTACTGAGCTTATTTCGAAAAGACTGACGCTTTGAGTCGCATATCTTTGTCTAAGATAGAGATAACATACCTCTCATTGATGTGAGGTGCATGTCCCACTTGGCTTTTCCTACAGTGTTGGACTTTCTTAGTTTATAGTTTTATGGAATATTTGGGTATTGAATTGAAGTTACTAACTACTCTACTTCTCTATGCAGTTCTATTTTTGTGTCCTTTTCAATTTTTGTTCTCTGTTTTATTACTTTATTTTATATCAATGTTTTATTTTGTAGTATTTTCTCAAATTTTGGCGTACTCCTTCGTTATTTATAATTTGCCTTACCGAATTATTTGGCAACACGCATCACATGACTGTATAACAGAGTAGATTACGTCTGTTGGTGGAGCATATATACTTCTTTCAAAGTCCTCAGGATGAATCATTTACAAGTAAGATCTTCATGCTTCAATGGTACACTGACTATGCCTTGATAATAACGCACTTACAAAACGCATTGCAATATGTATTTTCACAACATTTCAGAAGGAAAATGTTGGTGGCGTAGTATGTTGCGTCGAGGACTTCGAATTAGAGTATGCTTACAATGCTATAAAGAAGGAGGTGAGTGAACTACTCAGTAATAACAAGTTTATACCCACATGCCGGACTGACAACTCTTTCTATCCAATTTTGCTTATTGTTAAAAGCTTCGGTTCGCGTTAGTGAAATCCGTGAAAGACTGGAAAGACGCTGGTGTGCAAGTGCACAGCATTCCAATGACCGACTTTTGGTTCCGCTGGGAGGCCGCAGATAGATTCTGCAGTGCAGTTTATCGACTCAATCGCTGCCAAAGGAAAATCTGTTTATGTACATTGCAAGGTAAGTATAGTCCATTAATTCAGAGCCATACTTACCTAAAATTGCAGTGAAAGATCTACACCAAATGGCCTGATGTGGTGGCTACAGAGTGTACCTTCTTTTCAAGCGAAACTCGCAGACGTCACACTGTAAGCCGTGTGATATTTGATCAAGTCACGAAAATTTGGATTGCCCCCCATTGATGATGAAGTATCTCAAATCAAAAGCGACCCAGGTTGTCTTTTTGGATGCTGGCAACAAAGTTTTATTCATGCTCTGACATTTGTGCACCAGCATAGTTCGGAAAGACTGCAGCCCGATTTCCTTGAAATACTTTTCTCTGAACTCGTGTTATTCAGACAGTCTCAGAAAGCGCACGTGGCGACGCACTGACATACCGTACTCATCGATCGACATATGTCATCTGGACATTCTCCAAGCTCTCAAGCTTCGGCTTAATTTTATCGCGATTCTGAGTGAGTCTCCAGCATCTTGATTCTTGTCGTTATGATGAGGCGCTGTTCAATATACTTATTGCCAGAAAACCTCGGGCAATCTCACTTTCCAAAGCAATATTTGAAGTGAACGTGCCTAACTGAGTTTTAGTCGCTGTCGAATCCTAATTTTAACTGAATATTTGTATTTTTGAGCTCACTAAATGTCTTTAAACGGATACAAAAATGCTCTCAGCAACGGCATCTAAACAAATTCGTTCTGATGCGAGATATTACACTTGCATAGCAACTGTCTCCGACCTGAAAGTTTAAATTAGCAGCTTAGACATGTTGGAAATAGAATAACCGGCCCTGCTCAGCCTCTCTAACATGGCTTTACATATCTGATCGGTTTGGAGCAGAAACAGATGGTGTCATTTGCGTAATTCTCATATATCAGGAACTTTACGATCCAAAACTCGGAAACTTACAGGAAGGTCGTTCAGGGTGTGCCAAGCTTTTTCAAAACGGTTTCTTGCATGATATAGGGGCACATGCGGGAACCACAGAACCATGGTTTTTTCCTGAACGGCCCTCTGAATACCAGAAAAGGGGGTCCCTAGTTCGATTCCTCGTGGTGACAAATTTTTGCATTTCGAGTTGACGTTTCAAAATTCGCGCAAAATGGAGTTAGAATAATTAGTACCATATTCATGATTAGGACCGTCAGTAACCCTTACAAATAGACTTTGATTGAAAAACTGGTGAAAAAGGTGTGACACCAGGGACCCCTTTTCTGGTATTCAGAGGGCCGTTCAGGAAAAATTAACCATGGTTCTGTGGTTCCCGCATGTGCCCCTATATCATGCAAAAGACCGTTTTGAAAAAGCTTGGCACACCCTGAAAGACCTTCCTTGTAGAGATCGCGCATTTCATCAACTAGTAATGACTAGCAGAATGACAATAGGTTGATCTCGCAGGTTGATCCACTTCGTTTTTTCGGCATTTCCCGTTATTTTCTCAATATCTCATCAAAAGCACTAGGAAAGAAAGCGTTTGTCGTTTGAAGAGGTCTTCAAGCAGTGTTCGCAACAATTTGTACCCCCCTTCCACACTTCCTGCGCCGGCCTCCAAGCATACTCTCAGTTTAAAGGCTCTCTCGGAACTAAGTCATGAAGAGCTGTATAAAACTCAGCTCACTGAGGGAGCGCTTCGTTCCCTTCAAGTGTGATTATGTTGATATGGCATTAGCACACCACCGATTTTCTGGTTTTTATGCTGTATTGCATGTGCCGTGGATTTCTTGGAAAGCCGCTTGTTTGAAGAGCGCTTCACATGCCATGGCTAGATTCACCAAATCAGATCTCTAATCCATGCGCAAACGTTCACCAATTTCCCTGTCTGGGTTGTTCTGAAACCAAATGGGAAGTTTCTAGTGACACCGCCTGCTTCGGCGCATGCCCCGCCCACTGTAGGTGGGGCTCCGCCTAGATGAGCGTGGTTTGTAGTCAGTCCACTCACCCTTAACTTGAATCTCCTGGTGGAATTGAGGTATAGTCAAATTTTGTGGCAGAAAAACCCTAGTCAAGTACTCAAACCGATATAGCAACTAAGATGGTTTCGGTTGGTAATCCCCAAAGATCTTGCTTCTCGTTCTGCTATGCTTTCTATTTGTCTGAATGGGATCGAAGATCTGTTCTATAACAGAATACTATGTTTAAAACACAAGAATGCTGAGTTGTGGGCAAAATTTTCGCCACAGCCGGGATCTTTTGCTTCCCGTGCAACTGAGCTATCAGTTACTGGTAATTGCCCCGACTGGGGCGAAAGTTTTGCCCACAACTCAGCATTCTTGTGATAACTTTCGCAACGCGAACTGCGGCGTAAAACAGCAGTTATCCATTAAAAACAAGTCAAAAGTGGT